TCCTCGGCGGCCCGAACCTGGGTAAAAATCCTTCGTGCTGATCACCAGACCTGCTCTTTGTGCATTCCTCCTCCCCGCCAACGGTAGAAGGGATCCACGTGATCCCATAGGTGTCGCTTCCCCGACAACAACTAGAAACAAGAACACCATATATGCTCTATAGGGCTTGCTCTAAATTTTGTGAGTCTCCGAAGACGTGCTTTCTCTTCCAATTGTTTGGCTTAAAAGTACTTGATGTGTCCCCGCAATTTGTTTTCGATGATGTGCATGCCACTTTCATCAGAAGAAGTAAAACAAAATCAGGGCACAAGTTGACTCTTCCCACCCATGCAAATAAAATGTGCAATCCATGTTTATCTACATTAGGCCATCGTCTGATTCTAGGTTGGCAGATGATTCATCTGTTTTCAGCTGAGCGATTATATAATTATATTGGTTATATCGTCTTTATTTGTTCAGTATTATCTTGACTCACCAAGAGAACATGGTGCTGTATAAACAATATTGGAAAGCACATGGCTGCTGAGATTTAGGATTTGTTGGTTTCAGTTTGTTTTAAGTTTTACTCCTGAAAACTTTGAGATTAGTTTGTCTGCTGAGAACAATATAGGGTTAGTATAAAGTTCGGAGATACATAAAAAAAGTCTGGAGATACATCAAGAAATTATGGCATGATTTGTTTCCTTTCTTCTTGAGGTGTTCAATTTCATACCATCTGCTCTGCCCTAGGTTCGAAAGACAAAATCTGGAGCCTCGCTCTCAAGGTCCAAGAAGGTGGAAGCACCAACATCGCCCTCAACAGAGCAGCTCAATTGGATATGAATCCAAGGATGACATCCAAGAGAAGGTACCCAACTTCCTTTGTTGCTTTAACCATACTAGAGTAGCTGTATATGGTGCACTTCGCAGAGATATTCTCTAGGAATTCCAAGATAATGGATGCATTTTGCATTGAAATTGTGAGGTGCGGCTCAGAAAGATACAGTGGTACTAGCAGCGGCCGCGGTACCGACGACGAAGACTGGCCCGGGGGATCTGGGATAGTGGATGCATTGGGCTCTAGGTGAAGATCAGCCACTCCATCCACGGTCACTGTTTTGTTCCTTCTTTTTATGGAGATGATTTCAGTACTCTTTATCAATGTGATGTTAGAGCCAAGGTGCATGTGTCACTTGTTTCATCAAGTGTGTAATGAACTTTCTATTTTGTTCCTGATGATCTGAAATCCGTGATTTATCCAGGCTCCTTACTGCTTAATATACCTATAATGCAATAACACTACAAACTAAAAAAGTGGAAGGTGCGCCTTCCACCTGGCACCGTCCAACTTTCTCTCAGGCGATGCCATCGGGTGGCGCCCTCAGCACTTTCGCCATGGTTGCGCGCAGCAGCGCAGGTCGCTGCTGCGTTGCATGTACGCGCTACCCGTGTTTGCATTGCATGCATGTACGTGTATGTGCACCGTTCGGTTGCCTGCTATTGGGCTGTTGCCTCACGCTCCTCCTGCCACGTCCGCCTACCAGATGCACATCGCAGGTGCCTCGTCCTCTGTCGGCATCTTTGTAATTTTGCTCGTCGCGCCTTCGGTCTGATCAACCGGATATGCTTGTCTCTGCAGAAATTCATGAAAATCGCCACTGTGTATATGCGCAAACCCACTGATTGAGCGATGGGCTGCCGCAGCGCGGCCCCGTCGGGCTGTAGCGCCCCCGCCTCGTGGTTCTTCCTCTGGCTGCATCGACTCACGGGTAGCGTCGCCCCTTCAGGTGTAGCGCCGCAGCACGGGGTCCACATCATTGCTCTAAGGTCGTCCCCGTGGTTGCACTGACCCACGCACTGCCACTGCATCGCCCCTATGGGTCGTAGGGCCGTGATGCGTGGTCTGCGATGGCCCTGCGGTCTCCCCTCGTCGCCCTGACCCGCATACTGCCGCTGTGTCGCCCTTTCAGACCATAGCAGCGAGACACGCAATCCACTCCGTCGTCCCCGCGCATCGACTTCTACGTGGTATGCGCCGCATTGTCTCTCTAGACGCGAGAACGCCACCGTAGATGCTCGGTCTTCGTCCTGCTATTGGGTTCACCTTGCACTTCGAGCACCGCCGTGCTGCTACCGACAACTAACGTGGCCCCCATGGGTTGCCTCTACTTCCACCACCTACTTCGCCGTCAACCTCTTCGTTGTCGTCTTGCACTAGCTCATCGCCAGTGACACCATCATATTCCTCGACCACTTAATCTACTCCAACAACCGCGGTCGACATCGGCACCTTCTAAGCTTCTTTCGTAATTCTTGCCGCCTGCCGTCACCATGTTTGCACACCCCGATTCCATCAAATTGCCTTCGCTTTTTCCAAACCAAAAAATAATACAATCTTGCAGCCAAGACCCAACATTTTGTAACCAACATCCTAAAGGTTTTGTTTCCCAGATTTAAGCTAGATATGAGGGATACATGTCAGCCTTGGCGTTTGAGGTCGTTTTGAGGTGTCCGGATAGCTTGGATTTTTTGACCAGTCAATGATCAGTCTGTCCGCCCGGGCATTAGGGGTCGGTTTGAGGTGCCCGTCTATAGATGCTCTCTAAAATGGTCATCATGGGCGGCGTTACACTGGTTACTAACATCATTTCCTTAGGAAACTCCTCCCTCTGTTCCTAAATATAAGCGTTTTAGAGATTTCAATATGACTACATACGGAGCAAAATGAGTGAATTAATATGTCTATATACGTACATCCGTATGTAGCCTATATTGAAATCCCTAAAAAGGCTTATATGTAAGAACGGAGGGAGTATATGCCAAATTAAATAGAATCAGTGTTGTCGTTTTCTTTGCTACTGAACTTAACTGCTTGATCCTTAACTGCTCAGTTAGAAAAAACATGGAAGAATGCTGAAGGATGGACGTGAGAAGCTTGCTTATACTGGGAATAGAGAGATACTAGAGGAACAGGCCCGCTTCTAGCTTCTAGCTTTGTTAGCCTTTCTTCTTGCAGATAACAAGATGGCTGCAACCTTAATTCTTCAAACCATAAACATGTAGCAACGCACTCACCAAATCACAACGCAGTGGCACAATATGTCACAAACTTACAGTACATCACATGAACAATGCAGGAGATTTTCATAAACAAAAAACCATTTCATCACGACTCTGGACAACATCAGGATCAACTCTCTCACCATCCTCCTCGCTGTTGCCAAACGCAATTGGGAAGGGAGTCAACGATGTTGCTTTTATGACCAGAATGAAACAATTGAACATCTACTTATTAAATGTCCGATTGCTGGATTACTTTGGAGAACGATTCATGTTGCTTTTAACATCACTCCGCCAACTTCAATATCACAGTTTTCCATGACTGGCTGGATGGGGTGGTACCTCAGACAGCTGCACAAATCAGAGTCGGAGCATGTGCATTGCTTTGGGCGATATGGAATTGTCAGAATGATGTTGTCTTTAACAGACAAAACATTACTAATTTTTTGCAGGTCATCTTCAGAGCGTCTACATGGATCCGTACGTGGTCCTTGCTGAGCCATACGGACCACAGGGCGCACATGGCTATTGGGTGCAACCGATGGGAAACGGTTGCACGGGATACATACAACCGATATGGATGGCGGTCCAGTAATAGGCTAGGTGTGTAGACATCTTGATCTATTATAGCCGGTTGTGGCTTTTTTTATTTTTGGCCGCGTGTGGCATTTGTTTCTTCATGATCTTTTGAGACCACTTGAGAAGACTTTTGGACCTCTTTTCTTAATAAAATGGCTGTGTGCATCGAATGACGTTAACCTCCTTTTCGAAAAAAAAATCCACCTCGCTGTTTAATATTGATGATTATTAATCAGCAGGGACACAATTGTGATAATTCAAGTTCTTTTCGTATGACGTAAGTAACCATTTGCTTGGAAAAATATGTATGGTAATTAACATCAGGGCATTCTCGATCTCCTCAGCTTAACCGTCAGGTACTTGGCATGCACGGCCATCCATCCTATTAATTTGCTATAAAAGTAATACCTGGTCCAGATTTAATGGATATAATTACATAAAAGGATGAAATTTGCTGTGAGGGAAGGTCGCATGAGCAATTGAGTAGAGTCCCTTCCAGTTCTAGCGTAGCATAGAATGTCACATTTTCTCCTCGTCCTTCTCATCACCAGGCAGACAAGATCATAAAGAACATCAGAGATGGGGATGGCCGTTGTCCCATATATTGTAGCACCCAATCGGCCACCCCAGGCGACAGCATGGGTGAACCTGTGCGTCCAAGGCTTTGGGCATTGGATCAACCGGCTAGCCACTGCTCGTGTAAATCACCCTTGCTGATTAGGGGAAACGAAATCGATGGAGAGGAGGAAGAGGGGAGTTTGGGAAAATAAATTAGTAAGAGAAGGCCCTGACGACGACCACCTTCCCGTTCAACTCGGCTTCTAGGTCGTCGGCCTACAGCGAGATTCTCCTCTCTGCAGGGAACCTCCCTCTCAAGGGAGCTTAATTAGAGTTTTAGGCATAGATTAAAATAGCCCGCGAAATAGCCGCTATAGCTGCGCTATAGCTACCCGGGAGCCTCGCCGCTACGCTATGGCTGCTGCCGCGAAATCCCCCACAAATCCCTCTAAATGGCTCAACAATGAGCAAAATCCTATAGAAATCATCTCTTCCACCAGAAAAATTTCCGCTATTTGCCGCGATTGCCCGCTATGGTGGCCGCTATAGCTGCTGGGAGAGGCCGCCACGAAATCGTTTCTCCCGCGATTTCAATCTATGGTTTTAGGTGATGCTCGATGACCACAAGGCCGGACTAAAGCATATTTGATTAAGTCGGTTTCCGTATATGTACCCGTGTCTGACTCCAGACCCCTATATTACATTTAGACAATAAGTACGGTAGTTAAATTGCAACACGATTGGAACACCTCGTCCATCGACCGACAGGCGCACAACTCATCAATTAAACAGGTCACTGAACGATCTCAAGCGCCGATCCATCCATGGGCCTGCGACGGCGCCGCACCTATCGCCCCAAACCTACCACGCCATGGATGACGATGCCTGTCCGGTGGTCCGATCTCCCCGACGATCTCCTCCCCCTGATCTACGTCAAGGTCGACAGCCTGCTCCATCGCGTCCGCTTTGCTGCAGTGTGCAGATCGTGGCGAGCGGCTGCGATCATGTCGCGTCAGGCGGCACCGCCCGTCCTCCCATGGCTCATCTTCTCCTCAGATGGTGGCAAGTCGAGGCGCGCATACTGCCCTGAGGAAGGTGGGATTTTGCGCATCCGGATCCGAAGGCAAGTGCTCACCGGCAAGCGGTTCGTGGGAGCTCACGACGGGGGCTGGGTCGCTGCAATAGGAGGCGAATCGAAGCTTGTAATCGTGAACCTCTTCTCGGGCACGGAGGTATCCTTACCTGCAAGGAACGCATACCCTACATACAAGATTGTCTTCTCGGAATCCCCCGCCTCAAGTGGTTGCATCCTTGCCGCCATCATGTCTCAATACGGCGTCGCCGTATGCCAGATTGGTTGTCCGAACGGCACGTGGACGGTCAAACAATTGGATGGATTATTATGCCTTATGGACATTGTATTCTACAATGGACACCTCTACGGCATCACTTCCTTCGAGCAACTTCTCAAGTTCAAAATCGGGGTGAACAAAGACGGCGTGCTAGCGTTCATTGGTGAACCGCACCAACTCCAAATCCGAAAGTGCAGCGGTCCTCCGGCGTATCGACGCTACATCATTGAACTGCAAGGCAAGCTGGTGATGGTGGCGAGGAGCTACTCACGACGCATCAACTCTGAGCCTATCTTCAAGGTGTTTGAGCTTGCTGACAAAGCGACTACAGAATACACTCATCAGTGGGAGGAGTTAATGACCTTGGGTGATTATGCCTTATTTTTGGGGGCAAAGTCATCCAAGGCGGTGTACGTGCCAGCGTCTGGGCACGACGGAGTGCAGAGAAGTTGCATCTATGCTGACGACATGAAATACTTGACGCAATTGGACGGTCATGGTGATTGTGTATATCCTGTGCAAGATAAAAGCAGTCACCACGCCAGACACATGATCAAATCAGCAGGTTCGTATGTAGCTGCCGGTGCTGATACAAGTGGCATGTGGGTTTTCCCTCCGAATTTCTGGGCGGCCAATAGTAGACAAGCGCGACATCTTTGATTGTATCCCTCATCTACAATATATTGAGATCAACCTTTACCGTTAATTGGACAATATAAATTTTTATGATGGAAAGTCACATTTGTTTTCCTATGATGATAAGGTTTCCATTCCTTGTTAAAAACATAAAATAGTTACTACCAATCCATATGGTATGGTTGGAATAATGTGTTGTAGTCTAGAACCCACATGATTGAGATCAAGTATCGATCATTTGAGTTGTTCACAAATTAACAACCCAACCATGAATGCAAAAAAGTTTGTATGTACAAATGTAATTAATTAGTGTTAGAAGGGAGAGAGAGATTTGGTGGAATAGTTCGTTGTATTGCTTGAGCCTCGTGGGCATATATATAGGAGTAGATGATCTACTTGGAGTAAAGGCAAGCCAGAATATTTCCTAGTCTAACCTATGTTTTATAATACAATCACGTTACTCAACATCCCCCCGCAGTCACAACGGTAGCGACGCAGGCGGTGCGACTGGAGAAGAATCCAAAGGCAAGCCGACGGACACCCCCCACAATAGTAACGGTCGACGCATCACGGAGTCGTGGCTGGAGTGGAAACCAACGAGGTTGCTCAAGCAGGCGGTAGCCCTTTGTGCCATTTGTCGATGTAGCCAAGAGCGTGGGTGGTGGAGCCGTGGTCAAGGTAGCCGTGCGAAGAATGCCGTGGTCGATGTCGAGTCGGGATGCGCCGACCAGGCTTGCCAGGCCAGGTGTCGAGGAAGTCGCCGTGGAGCCGCGGGCGCAAGAGGGCGCCGAGTTAGTCATGGGAGCAGTGGTGACGAGGTAGTGGTGCGCCGGAAGGATGATGGTGTTGACGACGCGTCGCCCGCCAAGCCCGGGGACACATCATGGACGAAGGCACGCACCGGTGTTGCCAGCACCGGGCATGCGTAGACGGACGAAGACGAAGTTGACGAAGCGCCGACCAAGCTTGCCAGGCCCGGGGACACGTTGTGGATGAAGGCACGCATCGGTGTTGCCAGCACCGGGCATGCATAGACGAGGGACCTACACGAGCTGTACGCCATGTCAGAGAAGTCGGAGGGGCCAGCAGAGAAAAACTCGATGACGATTGCGGCGTCCATCGGCGCGGGGCCGATGTCACCAACGGTGGTCAGAGTAGACGAAGTGGTCGGGGTAGATGACGGCGACGCTGGCGACGGGCTAGTGTTTGGACGAAGACCGAAAGGGGGTGGACAGGCGGCGGCGGTAGCTACGAAGGTAGCGGCGGCGGCGGCCAAAGAAGAGCGGCGGAGACGGCCCGATGGCGCGGCGGCTAGGTTAGGAGTGCGGCGGCGGTGCTCGAAGTAGGCGAAGAACCCTGACAGCGTGACGAAGACCGGCGCGGAGGTGGCGTTCTCGCGCCAAGGGAGACGGCACAGCGCATCCCACGGGAGGTCGACGCGCGGTGTCGGCGGAGTGGATCGCGGGCCGCGGCGCTACGGCCCGAATGGGCGACGCAGCGGCGGCAGGAGGGTCGGGCGACGACGGGAAGACCTCGGGGCGGCGGCGGGGACCGCGGGCCGCAACGTTGCGGCCCGAAGGGGTGACGCAACAGCGGTTCACGAGTCGGTGCAACCGCGGGGACGGCCTCGGGGCGGCGGCGGGGACCGCGTATCGCGACACTACAGCCCGAAGGGGCGACGCAGCGGTGACGCACGGGTCGATGCAGCCGCGAGGAGAACCACGGGATGGCGGCGCTGCGGCCCGATGGGGTGACGCAACGGCAGCCCAATGCTCGATCGGTGGAGAGGCGCGCTGAACTCGGGGACGATTTTCACGGGACCTGCGGAGGCTCGCGTAACCGACGGGCCAGGTCGGTCGCGCGGCGTAGATGAGGCGGATCGCCGCGGCGAGCGGGTGATCTAGCCGATCGCGCGCGAGGTCGGGGATGCCGCTCGGTGGAGGCGTGGTGGTGGCGGAGTCCAAGATGAAGCCGGCGACGACGGACGGCGTGAGACGTCGTGCGGACGAGCTTGTCAGCACCGGCACCCGGGCTGCCAAAGCAACGCTGGCGCCCGGGCAGCGAGGCCCGAGCGCCCGAGTTGAGGCAGCCGACAAGCCTGACGCAACCGTCCCGACACAGCCGAGGACGAGGCCGGCGAGGTAGACCGCCGAGCCGCCGTGGAGACGCGACGGAGGCGGGTGATCTGGATCAATGGGCGGGCCGGCGCGCGAGCGACGACTATGATTGGCCGTGGCATGGTGCGTGGCCGCCGGGTCGGGCGATGCAGGTGTCCCGGTCGGAGCAGGGTGGTGACGGCCGGCGCAGGGCGATGGGCGGACCGACGCGCGGATGACGGCTGGCCCTGACGGGCCGCCTCGGCGCGCGTGGCTGCCGGGTCGGAGGAGAGGCCGGCGGGTCGCGCCGGGGTCGGAGTAGAGGCGCTCGGGGTCGACGACGGCGGTGGGCGACGCAAACCGATCAAGAATATATCGGAAAACCAAAAAGAAACCGCGTGATCAAAATGACCGGCGGGAGAGAGAGAACCCCGGACCAAGCTCGGGGAAAATACTCTCTAGGGCAGCCGGTCAACACGACCGGCGGACGAACCCTAGGTACGGGCGGCGCGGCCCCGGGCGGCGGTCATGGAGGCCGACCGCCCCGGAGGCGGCGCGCGGGTGCGGAAGCGGTGGCGGCTAGGGTTTACGATCGATTAGGCTAATACCATGTTAGAAGGGAGAGAGAGATTTGGTGAAATAGTTCGTTGTATTTTTTGAGCCTCGTGGGCATATATAGGAGTACATGATCTACTTAGAGTATAAGGCAAACCAAAATATTTCCCAGTCTAATCTATGTTTTCTAATAATCTTTATACTCAACAAATAGAATCCAATGAAAGAATGATCAAGGACCATGGTTTGTAGTACATGAGTGGTCACATGCTAACAAGAGCAATTGCTCAAGTGTAATGTTTCAGAGCTATGAAAAGAGAAAGAAAAACATGCGTATTTTGGCATCCACTTCATACAAACTAGCTGTTTCGCGTAAACGTAACGTCCCCTGGTAGGGTATTTTCTAATGGCGTAAATTTGCGGGTGTCCCAGTATACGACTTCATAGATATTTAACCTGAATCGGCTCAGGTCTCATAAGACAACTAGCTAGTCCATAGAACACCTCCGATTAAGATGCACTGTTGGTCGTCGTCTTGTAACGTGAAACATACATGTGGCCGTTCTTTCCGTACAATGACATGTCAAAGCCTTGTCGGTCTTTGGGGTAGGATGTCCATCCTCGTCAGCACTGGGTTCACTGCATAGTCTTAAATGAGTGTTGGGCCTCGTCGGTCACGAACAGAGTGTGTCCAACCTCTGTTGGTCAGTTCAAATGAGGGGTTTCCGGCTTCGTCGGTCATGCAAAATATGTGTAGAAAATGTCCAACCTCATTGGTCGCGACAGATGAATCATTTCCGGTCTTTCCAGCGAGGGAAATATGAATAACTGGTATGAGGATGACAAGTCGATGATGAAGACACTTCTTGCATACGTGTTGCGCACGGAGGGGCACCACCTTGAGCGCATCTCGCCGGAGCACCAGCACGCCGGGACGAAAGAGACCTCACGCCGGGGTCGTAAATCAGCGCGAACGACGCCTCCCAGCGCGGGTCGCCTGGGTCGTCTATCTCACCTTTTTATTGTACGATACGTACCTTTTTATGGAATGCACATATATGGGCAGTATATATACGTGTCTTTTCTTTTAACACAATACAGACGCAATCGGTCATATACACGCGCATACACTCATTCCTCTTTCGGCGTTTTAGTCGTGGTGGGTTGCTAGATCTGGAGTTCGATGGCGTGTCCGGGGTGTTGCCCCGGTCTGACTCGTTCAACGGTAAGGGTTTCACTTTTGGTGAGCCACATTGGAGGTCCGTAAAGGTGCATATCAGCGATGGAGCCGCGTTGAGCTCGGGTGAGGAGGTGATTCGTCATTCTTTTCTTCGGTGGCTGCTGTGGTGGTGCCGGAGGCAGGTGACGGCCGTTGGTGTCAAGCTCAGAGATGTTCTGTTATCTTTTCAGTTTTGTCGTGTCGGTCTTTACGTGACTTGTACTTTGTTCTTTATGATATGAATGAGACACGTATTACCATGCAAAAAAAATATACACGCGCATACACTCACCCTTATGAATGCACACACGCACACCCTATGCCTATGAGCACCTTCGAAAAACCGAGCCGGAATATCATCTTAAAATTTACGAAGTCACCGTAGGCACCTCGTCGTCGACGGGAACGTCTCCTCCCACTGAATACACATCGCCAGAAATCTTGAAATAAATCCAGGAATAAATGCGAGCATCAAGATTTGAACCCTGGTGGAGTGGGGATACCACAGTCCCTCTAACCATCCAACCACAGGTTGGTTCGCATGTGTCCGACTCCAGCCGGCAGGCAATGCAACCATATATAAGCTGTACGTACGCAGGCTAAGCTGCTAACCTATTCAAAAACGACCAACCGAAACACGATTAACAGCTCGTCCCCCGATCCACCGGCAGCTAGCGCACCTTCTGACACGATGTCCGAGCACTGGTCCGATCTCCCCGATGACCTCCTCCATCTGGTCTACAGCAAGGTCATCGCCATGCGGCACCGCGTGCGCTTGTCCGCCGTGTGCAGGCAGTGGCGAGCCACCGCGATCACGGCGAGGCACGAGGCGCCGCCCGCCCTCCTGTGGCTCGTCTTCTCCACATCACACAACGACGACTGTAAGACTAGGCGTGCATATTGCCCCGAGGATGGCGGGGTCATGCGAATCCAGCTCCCAAGTGCACTCATTGGTAAGCGGGTGGTGGGAGCTCACGACAACGGCTGGGTCGCGACGCTTGGGGATAACATGCAGCTTGTAGGCGTCAACCTCTTTTCTGGCGCCGAGGTGCCGCTCCCGGCAAAGGACCTGAGGACGGTATGCTCAGACTGCCGAAGCGATGTGATTTGGAAGGTTATCTTCTCGGAGTCCCCCACATCAAGTGGATGCATCC